TAGGAAAACAATAAAATTGAGAATCTCCGAACAAAGAAAAATCCGCCATTTTAAATATGAGACATTCACGTTTATTCACGTGGTTGGAGTATCCGGAAAATAAAAAATCACTTCAATTTTTGAGTTATGGTCATTTGATGTCCTTATGCTGTTTAGAAAGTTATACCTGTTTTTAATTGATTTAATTGATTTAATTGATTAATATTTATTATTATCATATTACAGGGAAATGGCTCCATTGTTGGATTATGTTCCTAAACTAAAAGAAGCCACACAAGTTCAGTGCAAGGGAGTGTACTGTGGAATGCCTAATATTACTTAAAATAATTGATTATCAGTGACTGTGTACAATGTATTAGGTCAAAAAAAATTTTAAGTCCTTTACTAGATCACATGTACATGCAACCATACTCAGTATTAATTGCATTATTATTATTATTATTATTATTATTATTATTATTTTATTAGTTGTTGGAGTGTATTCTGAAGCGGGACCAAGTGATGCTGAAATCAATAATATACCATACATATATTCAACTTTTAACTAGACTACTGATGTAACTCAAATTCAGGTAAATATATACTGTCTGATAATGAATGAATGAGTAAAGGTCATTAGGAGGAGCTATAATCTTTTAGTATATACAATATAATGGGAAGTTATTTCTATAGACAGTACTGTATACTAATGATAGGTATAGAGTGTATGTATAGTGGGTTGGTGGGGCAGACCTCATATCAACCCTTGTGAAAATCAATTTCAAAGATCTTGAATGATCTTGCTAGTCTAACTAAGAAAACGTATGATAAGGCAAGAAATTTTTCTTGCATGATCTTAGCAATGTTTGATAAAACAAGATCTTGTAAGATCCAACATCTTGAATAATCACACTTTATCTTAGCAATACAAGATCTTGTTTGATAATGCACAATATTGCCCCAATTATTTTATTTATTTTGACAAAACATGATCTTGTAAGATCTTATATCTTGAATAATCACACTTTATCTTAACAGCACAAGATCTTGTTTGATAATGCATAATATTACCCAAATTATTCTTGAATCATTTTATGTGAAATTTATTTATTTTGATGAAACATGATCTTGTAAGATCTTATATCTTGAATAATCACACTTTATCTTAACTGTACAAGATTAGCTTGGGTCATACAAGATCTTGAAAGATCTTACAAATCATGTGATGTCACAGGAAGTAGTAGACAACCCACGATAGCCTTAACGGTAAATCCAGTATATAAAGAAAGAATAAAGTTACATTAATACTTCATTATATTAAAGTTATTATGCCATTCATGCAATGTAAGATCTTGCTCAGATCTTACTGTTGCAATCATTTTATAAAAGCATTACATGCTAAAATACCATCCAAGAAAATGACTGATCATTTAAGATCTTGCTAGCAAGATCTCATCACATCCTTCATGATCTTTGTTCCAAAACCCAGTAAGATCTTGCTGTGATCCTATATATAATTCTTGCTTATACCATTCTCATATTATGCAAGATCATGTTGGATCACAGATAATTCTAAGCATCATGAATGTAGGTAATAAAGTCCTGCCCTAATCTTAATACATGTACATGTACATATGTATGCATTCTAGTGTACTCTTGTATATTTTTAGGATATTACTCAGTATAATTTCAAGTCTCATCTATTGTACAGTAAATATGTGTTGTTCTTGTATTATTATCTATTTTACAGGTTATATTCATGTACTTGATTCATTCAGGATGTTTTAAGTATTGTCCATGCAGTATATGATTATATTATTATTTATTTTACAGGTTCATAAATACACTGAATTAAGTCTTTATGTGGTAGTTATGTCATTTTGGTAATAAATGAAAAATTGTAACATGCATTCTTGTTAATTTCTAGGATATTATCAGTATTCTAAAGATGTAACTATCTACAGTACATCAACTGTATGGTATAGTCAGGCCATGTACATGTATAACTATTTCTACATGTGCACACACTCTCTTGTCTTTATTCAGGATATTATCAAGATATTAACACTGCAGCAGTTTCTTCAAATCTACTACAACACATCCAGTCTATTGGTTAATGATATCCACACACTATCATGTACATGTACATCCTTATCTGTAACATGTATTCTATTTCCCTTTCCTTAAGATTGCTACATAGACTCAAGCCAGCATGCAGTCTTCTTCAGCATCAATTCAGTCCAAGTCTTCAGTGTATGGTAACAATGTATCTATTGCATGTTATTAATAACCTTGATTACAGTGCTAATAATAAACGGCTCATTTTATCACTATTCATCCCATTACATGTAATAAAGCACTGTCCCATTGATCTTTACTTGTTCTATTGTTTAAACATTTTTCTCTTTTTTTTATTTCTGCAGGGATCAAGTTTAAAGTTGGTTGAGTGTGAGGTAGAATGAGAGTTAATAATGTATAATTACGCATGCTTATAATGTATTTTATGCATGTACAATATAATCCACACATGTCCTTCCACCCCCCCACCTCTAGTAGGTCTGACTGTTCTGGACTGGACTGGACTCGGGATCAAGTTTAAAGTTGGTTGAGTGTGAGGTAGAGTGAGAGTTAATAATGTATAATTACGCATGTTTATCATGTATTTTATGCATGTACAATATAATCCACATATTCTGCTCTCTCCCTCCACTCCCCCCCCTCTAGTAGGTCTGACTATTCTGGACTGGACCCTGGTAAGGATTGATTGCATGTTCTCTGTTATTACATGTAATGGGATGAATAGTGATAAAATGAGCCAGTCGGTTTAAAATTTTGAATAATAAAAAAAAGAAAAAAAAACAAAAAATATAATTAATTAATAAGTAGGTGGGGCTAGTGGAGTTATAACCACACCCCCAATTAGTGAAGCTATAGGCACACCCTCAATTGAAATACCAGCCACACCCAGTGCCAAATAGGGTGTAATAAATATAGGGGGCAGCCGGCCAGGGGGGAATAAGTGGGCTCACATTTGTTTGCTTTTGCAACTTCTAAAATGATAATATTTATATAATACAATACAATAATATACTGATTATTATTATTTCTTTATAAGTCCTAACGATTGTCTCCTCATAGATATTGCTCTACTGCTACCAAGCCCAGTTCCTACATTATGAATGGGTATCTTTAACCTTGCAGCTAATTCCTCTGATTTAGTCTTCTTCCTGTCCCTCCCGAACAAAGACGAGGTTTTAATGTCACGACGTGTTTTTGAATGATTATGAGGTGCAGTATGACTAGCAAACTTTGTCTCTTTAGCTAGTTGTATATCTGATTCCTTTTCTTTAACTAGTGGTATCGATATCGAGGCTCTTTTCTGCAGCTGGCGATCTTCCTCCTCCTCTATCTCCAGCTCTTTCTTCTCCGTCTGTAACAAGTAAAAAATTACACGTAATTAATAATGCATACATATATCACAGTCCTGCCTATGGTGGTCGGGGTTGGTCGGGACAACCACCTCAACAAATGAACCAACCAGTTCATCACTTAGACCAACCGTCCAATTAATACTAATAGCCATACATAAACCATGATATTGTAGTCTACTAGTATGGTGTACATGAATTTAAAAGGAACAATATTAGTCTCTGCAACCACCTCTAATTTGTATGTACATGTACAGTATATGTATTAACATTGTGTGTTCAATTACTACTCACTCTAAATCTTTTCCTTAATAATTGGTTGATGCTAAAATCATCTTTCTTCTCTTCCTGCATAGCCTACAATAGATAAAAAAATACCGTATCACTTTTCTTTCCTTCTCTCTTCCTCTCTCTCACTTGCAGTAGTTGTATTCTTGGTGTTTCATCTTGGCTCTTCTCCTTATCCTCTACCGTGTGCTCCAGTTTAAACATGGGATCACTCTCCATCTTTTGCTTCTCTGCCTTTCCTTCAATGGACGCCGTCACGCCTTCTTCGTGTTCATATCGTTCATTCTTTCTCGAAGCACCTGTCGTCACCACGTAATCATGATTCTATAAAAATTATAGAAAAGCAAATTTTTGGATAGAACTATAGGCGATATTCCATGGTTTTTTCTTCAAAAAATGGCTTCAAAATCACTCCAAATTTTTATTACTTTTTCTGATACATATTGATGTCCTTATGCTGTGTAGCAAGTTTAAGCTGATTCTGATTAATATTTTTCAAGTTACATGTATATCTAAACTAATAATTAATATACTGTTGATATATGCTACGTATGATAATAATTTTGAGTGGATTCCAACTACGTGTTACAAGCCTCAGTAACAAGTAATGAATATCATTATAGTCCGACCCACGATAGCCTTGTAACGTTTCATGCATTTATAAAGAGATCAGTAAAGGATGAAGGATGATACTGATCACGGATGGCTTATCTTACTAAGTAGTACAAAATTTTTGAATGGGCAATTCACTGCAATTGCCCTGCTCTAATTAAACAATTAACATACTTATTATTATTATTATTATTATTATTTACATGTACCTTTGGATCAGTCTCTATTTCAAAATAATTATCACAAAGATGACACTTCATCCTAAACTTGAATATTGGAGTACTGTAGTACTTCCCAACTTGAGACTTCTCTGCGTTATATCGGACGCCCATACCAACGTGAGAGCCACACCCATTGCACCAGATATTGAAGGGAAGCTCAAATCTGATAGAGAAAGAAATAGAAAATTTCGTGCAGTAAAATTGCAAAGCTTTGCAAATTGAAGTACATATATTTACCAAAGTTATAGTAGCATGCAGAAGGTTACATTTAAACGACCAATTTATATGCCTTGTTTAGAGTCAATTTGTTAATCATTAATAAATTATTATTAATTACAGTTTAATATGTTCACCTTACTCCGATTATCCCCTGGTGTATCTTCCTTGCCCTCTCTCTCAGTGGGTGTGACCCTTGGAACTTATTGAGTGACCCCTATGGAACAATAGGATCAAACAATAGGGTAGTACAATCAGTACAAGGTACAAGGTTAATTAAAGGTTAATGAGGACAAGGTTTAGGATCACTAGTTTAAATATATTCATATTTCCATACAGGCCAAAAACACCATATATACGTTAGTTTAATAGTTGTCTTACGTGGCTAGGAGTCCATTGTGGCGGATAGTACTTGTTAGTGGCCTTTCTTTCTGCCTAAAAGAGAAGAAACTTGTAAAGAAGTTCAAGAAATAACGTACCATTTTAATCGAAGGTGTGGCTATAGCAACAAACACCCACGTAAAGTAGGCGTGGTTCTGGAGGTGTGACTTAATAATAGTAAGAAAGTTATTAATTTTGGCGCTTGAACTTTTGCACTTTAGCCTGGTCCAGGGCACTTTCTCTCTATCTCCTCCAATCCTGATGGCTGCTAAAACTGTAAAGACACTCGAGCTAACAAAAGGGGAGGACTGGGACTCCAAATTATTAAAAATACCCCTCGGATCGACTCTTAGACTAACACTGTCCCGGAGTATAAGTTCTTCTCCAGTTGTAGTTGAAACTGATTTCCCTCCAGAGGGTGCCCTGTACGTCAGAGGGAAGCTACGAGCTCTAGAATGGACGTACCGGACTAAGAGAGAAGAATGGGACCCAGACAGATACATTGATGTACAACTCAGCACTCCTGGGCCGTTTAAATTAACCTGGCGTCTACCCAGCGTACCGCCGTCCTCCACCGTTTTACCAGGTCACGGGTTTTTCCTCGTAGAACCAGACCTCGGTATTTTGCCGAACTCTATCTGTTGTCTGACGCACGTTACAAAGCTGCTCGGTCCTTTAGCAGACTGGAGGTCTCGTTTAGCCTTTGCTCATAAGTCCGGCTACAACATGCTTCATTTCACTCCGCCCCAGCAGCTGGGCTCATCTCGCTCCGCCTACTCAATTGCTAATCAGCTAAAATTAGATTCGTCTTATTTGCCCTCTGGGTACCAGCGAAAGGAGGTGGGCGTGACTTACAAGAACAGGAAGGGGGAGGAGAAACAGGTAATGATTGACTCCGCCTACCTTGAGCTTGATAAGGAGCTGAAGTTTTTACGAGAAGATTGTGGAGTTCTTTCGATTGTCGACGTAGTTTGGAACCACACCTCCTTTGACACACCCTGGTTGATACAGGTACAATGTACATGTACAGACTAGCCTCTTTATAATGGACACTGTGTCTCTGTTATACAGAGGTGTCCTTTATGTGGAGGTTATTTTATACAGTAAGGAATGTAATTGGTACACTAGGTGCTGTCCATTAAATGGAGCTTCAATTTGGGTCAAATTTGATTGCATTTGTCTGCCAAATTTTGCTAAAATAGTTGAGAATTAGCATTGGTTTTTGTGAATTTCTTTTTACACCTGCCAAAGTTGGCTACAAGATGACTTAACCTGGCAGC